CGGCCATTTACAGAAGTTGTAGTAATCAAACACGGGATGGTTTTTCACCATCATCGCCGCCCTCGCGATATGGTGTCCACACACAGGATAATACCAGTATTTCTCCGGGTGTGAGCTGTCGAAGTCAGCAGGCAGCACGCGCACAGCAGGCTCGCCATTCTCTGGAGGCGCGACGATCGGAGCGAGAATGAAAATGGGCTTCGTGTATCTCATGTCTTTACGTTCGTAGCAGTCGATCATAGCCGACGCGATGGTATCAACGAGGAACTCATCCAAGGATCGGTGGTTGTACGCGTCTTCCCAGTCTGGAATAGCTAATATTCTTTCGGGATGGATGTGCAACACGACGTCCTTCTGCACCCCTGTCTGTATCTCGAGGAAAAATGCATTGTCCAGGTTAAAGGCTTTGAGGTTAATCTCCAGGTCGTCATCCCCCTCCCCGTTGTCACCCTCGTCTGCTTTCTTCCCCTTCGATGATTTCGCCATTTTCCCGGAAGACTCACTGGTTCTTCGCTGTGTCGACGAGTCTTTTGGCGTTTGATCCCCACCTCCAACCCTTTTCCTCTTCTCAACGGAACCGCCCTCTCGTGTTGTTGGTGTCCGAGCACTCCCTCCTACCTTTCTCTGCCTTTTCAGAGCACCTAGTCCCTCTCGCTCTTCCTCATCTGGCAAGTTGCGCTTGCCTCCTGATTGAGTCTTTTCAACCGATCTCTCACGGAACAACCCCTGCTCGGACACCTCCTCCTCACCGGAAACGTTCCCACTTGCTTCTTGTTCCTGGCTCAACTCCGTCTGCAGTTTCCCCGGTGCTGGTCGGGCCGGGCGAGTCGTCTCATCTCACCCACGCACCTCTCGAACGTGCGGACCACCCGCTCGATCTCCAGGCGAAACCTCGGCCACCTGCATGCGACGAACGAACGAACCGATCCTTTCGACCAGACCACGAGGAGTCGTCGATTCTGAGCCCTGTCCCAACTGTTCGCCATTGCCGCCTCCATGTGGCGTCGACTCCCCAAGCAAACCGTGGCGGCGAGATACATGCAAGCCCGGTTTCAAAGGAGCACGCGGATGGTCGTCCTCCGAGTCGTCTGGAATGCTCACCTCTTGATCAGGAGGCGTAGCTGGCAGGCCACCCTGACTTCCCATCTCCCTTTCAGAGCACTCTCCTCTCGCGAACCCAACAGGACCACCGATCGATGTTCCAGGTCCGATGTCCACAACACTGATAGAGGTACCAGATTTCGCCCAGACCTTGAGGAAGTCTGTGACGTGAACGGCCTCGTCGTGCCCCGGCGCTAGAGGGAGAAAGTGAGGCAGAGACATCGCACGATGGCCGTACCCGCCGAACATCCTCCCGACAACCTTGCATCCCTTTGCGATGCCATCAACAAAACCATCACTTTTGTAATGCTTCTTCAAAGTAAACTTGAAATTGTATTCGCCATCGTCGACCCACTAGACAATGGAGCTTGCGAGACGCATTCTGTCGGCACGAACGGCGACGAATAAGAGCGGCCCGCATGGTGGTTGTAACGGGTCGGAGCCGTCCTGGCTCGCCCAGTCCAAACACCAGACGCGTTTGCTGTAGTCGCACCACAAGTTTTGAGCACGTCGTTCTTCCTCCCAACCTCCAACTCCCCGACTCGTTTCCCTTGCCGGCGACGACGTTGTCCCTCGACGCTCCTCTCCGTGCGGGGCGGAACCACCAGCGGAGCGGTCTCGTCTGTGTGAAGCCATTCCCAACAACACAGGGAGGAAATGAACCCACATTCACTCAGAACAGTCAGCACGTCCCAACATCAACCACGACCCACAGCACGTATTCTGTTATCGGTCACCCGGACTCCAAAAAAACGAAGTTCAGTCATAGTTAGACGACAGTGGTCCACAAGCCTGCACGTTTCGGATGAATCAGCGGCATCGTGAGCCATCCTCGTCACACTCCCCTTAAGAGAATGAATGGTCGAAAACGAAGACCGTGGGATAGATCGGATACATCCGAAGCAGGCGCAGTCGAAAAGCGATGTCGCATAGGCACCTGCACCGGGAAAAGCAACACCTCGCAAGAAGGCCCTAGAACGCTGATACGACAAACGAAGACGAATCCGTTGTCATCCGAAGTCGATAAGTAGATTGTTAAGTCCGCCGTTGTAGTTCGGATGAATCCGAGCTCCAAAGCGGTGTGGACCTCCTCCTGTCGGTCCGTTGCGAACTCGAGTTTTCTTGTCCTTCTGAGTCGGTAACGGTTGTGACTCGGATGCAAACGAATTCGAACAACGCGGTCCAGAGATGGTCGTCCACAAGAGGTCATCTACAACACGTGTTTTCGTCACCGACTTGCGAGCACTGGGTTAACCCTATCCTGCCGAAGGTTCGGTTCGGTTGAACCTGAACTTCGCAAATGTGGCTCGGATTAATCCGATACGGGGACGGGCCGATGGACCCCACGGTCTGTTGACGCCTATCCAGCCATCCGAGCTTCCGTTTTTCCCCAGCTGTCGTCGGGTCTAACCGAATTTCGCACGGTGTCTTCGTCCTTGAGTGTTTAAGACGGGCGTGGCTCTGATTTATCCGATTTCGACAGAGGCTGTCCCGATACGTGCGACCACGTCAGGCTACGCCTTGACGTACAAGTTTATCAGACCATGCGACGTCGTCAATACCCTCTGTGCATGTGGTAAATCCGAAAATGCCACCGGTGTGGTTCGGATTAATCCGACTTGGCCGAGGCGCTTCGCTTTGTTGTCGCCCCACCACATACCGGACCTCCCCGCGATTGCCGTAGTGTGTCATTATAACTTGTGCGTCATCACAAGGGATATCGCCGTCGTCGTGAGTTTTAGTTGGTTGTTGCTCGCCCAATCCAAACAACAGACACGTTTGCTGTAGTCGCTGCACAAGTTTCTAGCTCGTCTTTCTTCCACCGAGCATAACCATCTCGCCCAATCCAATATAGCCCCGCACCCATCTGCGTGGCCACGCATGTTTAGGACATGACATGCGGACGTGTGAGTGTGCCATCTGATCGGGGCGAGATGAAGGAGTTTCGGGAGCAAGAATGCATGTGTTTCATTGGCGATCACTTGCACCGATCAGATGGCACACTCAGATGTCCACGTGTCACGTCCTGAACAAGCGTGGGCACGCTGATGGATGCGGGGCTCTATGCGACAAAGGGGCTCTATGCGGCAGCAGAATGGATGCGAGGCTCCAATATAGCCCCGCGCCCATCAGCGTGGCCACACATGTTCAAGACGTGACACGTGGACGTTTGAGTGTGCCATCTGATCGGTGCGAGTGATCGCTAATAAAACGCATGCATTCTTGCTCCCGAAACTCCATCTCGCCTCGATCAGATGGGACACTCACACGTTTGCATGTCATGTCCTGAACATGAGTGGCCACGCTGATGGGCGCGGGGCTATATTGGAGCCTCGCATCCATTCTGCTTCGCCAACGCCGCAGAGCCGACCTGGACCCAAACCACCTCGCAAGCGAGAACCTTCTTAAGGACGCAGCACTTCTCGTTGTCGGTCAGCGACTCCATCGATTTCCAACAATGTGTGTCTGGCTCAGGCACTTGCACGAACCAGTCGCCCTCCTCTTTCTCTTCACGCGGGCACCTGTCGCGCTTCCACTGCCACCTAATGTCTTTCATTGACAGCTTCAGCTGTCTCGGGGGCGCCTTCAGGTCCTTCTTGTTGTCCTGGGAACTGATAAGGAAGTACCCTTCGAAGTCGTCGTCCGAAAAGTAGAGAATTCGTGCAGGCCACCGCTCGAAATTGTATTTCCTGGCCACCTCGCTGCAGCCGCGTTGTGCTACCCACACACCGCGTAGTAGTAGTATTGCCCCGCCAGCTCATCCCTCCATTCCTCCGGCCTCAGACGTTCTGCCTTGGTCCCCAGAGTCGATTTATCAAGCCCCAGCGGTGCCAGCTTCAGGGTAGGCAAATCGTAAGACTGCGCTTTGTTTTCGAACGCCAACCGCATCGCTTCTTTGATCCCTTCCACGAGCATGGGATCCAGGGACCGCTGGTTGTACAGGTCCTCCCAGTCTCCGAGGTCGACGACCTGCGCAGGGCTAACCTCAAACTCCCTCTTTGTCCGAACGCCGTCTTTGTACTCCAGGAAGTACCCGGCGTCGACGTCGATTGGAGGCCTTTTCGTCGGTGGAGAAGACATTCTAGACGAAGGTTGCTTCTGTCTCGAAGCCGGTCGTTTGGTAACCTGCCGGCCCTCCTCCCCCTCGGTCCCCTTTCGTTTCTCTCCCGCAGTCCTGAGGCCCTTGCTCTTCAGCTTCTTCGAAGAACCGACGAAATCATTTGTGCGATCCCCCCTCCTCTTTTGCGGAGTGCCTTGCGTGCCCAGGCTGCCCGCAGTCACCTCATCCACACTCTGGCCCTCGCTCGCCTCCAAGTCGACCTTTGAAGAGGCTGCCACCTTTCCTGTAGGTTCCGCACTCTCCCGTCGAACCGGATCTCCAATGTCGACCCCTGGAATAGACAACACCGACCGCTGCCTGTCCCTCAACGGCGCTGCAGGCCCCTCCTCCTCGATGTCATCGAACTGTCCTCGGCTCTCGCCGCGGTGCAGCCGAGTAGCCGGACCAGAACCCAGATCACCGCCCTCCGCCACCGCCCCGCTTGACTCGCAACCGCCGCACGGCCTGAACGGCAACAAGAGCTCCCGGGAGGGGCCGACGTCGCAGGGGACGTCGAGAACGATGTTCTTGTCCTCCAGCTTGTCGAAAAACTCACGCGCCAAAACAAAACCACCCACGAGAACGAGTTCTCTGTAGAACGGGGTGTCCACAGCACCCACCCCTTTGCGTCCTCCCACCCCAAGACGGCCCCAAGCACTCGACGCCTTCTGCCGTCATCAACAAAGATGACAGGACCACATGGCTGTGCAGTGGGGTTGGAAGCGTCTCCACAGCACCAGTCGATGAACCATTTCGACTCCGAATGGTTCAACCATCCTTTCGTGGCAGTAGACGACCTCCTCGTGGAATCTTTTCCGGATGTCTTCTCGGAGGTCCCCGTTGCCTTCACCTCGCCCTTTGAAGAAGATATCCTGCCTGCGAACGACAACCCAAATCGCACCACGTACCATGCAGTCAAGGTTTTGGAAAACACATAAGGAACAGAACAGTCGTCGGCACACGGCGACGCAGGCTCTTGCGGAGCGAAATCCGCACGCAAAGACACCCCGGAACCCAACTTAGGAACGGCTAGAATGGGTAGTTCGTCGGGATCTGAATTTCAATAGTGCACGAGTCGTAGAGGCAGAGTGTCGGGGATCAAGCGCCGTTTATGCGGCAGACAGCGCACCGGAAGAACGAAGAAAGACCAACGCATAGGGAAAATCGAGAAGTTCGTCGGGATCTGAACTTCATGACTGTCGGTCATTTTCAAAGCTCGCGTTGGACGGTGCAGTGTCCTCTGCCCAACACTCGGAACCCGGACAGACCAGCACGCGAAGTCCGCCCGGGTCCAGACTAAAAGACGGTGCGAAAGAAAGAGAGAAACAGCCAGCCCATGCAGTCGGCGTTCCAGAACTGTTCTCGAACGAACACACTCCGCAAATGCATTTGATCAAAACCAGAAGTCAGAGACAGACTCTCCCCGTCGCCGGGCGGGTTGTGCGAACCAGCGGACGGGCATGTCCGAAGACAAACCAACGCACCTCCCGAATCGTGAAGTTCGTCGGGATCCGAACTTCAGGACGATGCGACAGGCAGAGACGGCGTCAGAGACACACGATCCATGGACTCAAAGAAAAACACGACCTGGGAATGGCACACAAACATGAGAGGCCGGTCGAGAAGGATTAGTTCGCTGAAATCCGAACTTCTTCTGATATGCGCAGCAGCCTTGACAACATTGTGTGGGTCCCTGACGGGGTAGAACGGAACGTGTGGAGCAGCGTGGACAGGAACTGTTGTCGCATTCCACGAGGCATCAGGAAGACTAGTGTGTGTCCAATAGAGAGGCGTCACAGGAAGTTCGCCGGGATCCGAACTAAAGGACGCTTCGAGAAAGACGCACAAGGAGAAATACTGGATCACGTATGAGGTTAGACGCAAGACGGGGTCCGAGCAAGGTGTTGAAGGGAGAACTTACAGAATTGTTCTGCCGGCGTCGAACTCTGCGACTGGGATCCCTAAGAGTGCTTTTGGAATTTCGCAACGACAATGATCGACTGTTTGGCAGATGTCGATGGTGGACGGGCGGCAACCGAACGCGGACAGGGCACACTGCACTCCGGTTGGCGGCTGTGTCAGATCGCGAACGTGCCTAGGCGGAACTGGTTGCAAATCTTTTACGAACGCCGCGCCCAACCGGATTTAGGTCTCCGGCAAACAGTTGTAGCTCGAAGGCCGGTCGGACGGGCCTGCGGCCTCAAGCAAGACCCTGCTTGTGGGCCCCGCTGGTTCGTGCGGCCCGCCCGACGCCAACAGCACCGAAGCCAAATCAACGCACACCCCAAAATCGAAGTTCGCCGGGATCCGAACTTCGCCAGGGCGTGACAGTGAAGGAGACGGGGTCGGAGACAGACCTCTCGTTCATATGTGTCCACATTCGGGGTTCCCCAGGGACGATGTAGTGAACCGAAGCCATACAAAGCATTCATTGATGATCCGTATACGTGGATCTGCGGTTCGTCTACCGATGCCCTCTCGAAAAAGACGGACATGTATTTCATCCTAACAAACACACCCGGTCGTGCTAAGGAATTCCCGATGCAGTCCCGTATATCGCACACTTTCTCCTCGACCGCACGATGCATCGAAAAGTTTCGGACCCACCCTGCTATAACCAAATCACGCCACCCATCTACACGTTCAGGCCCGAGCGTCTCCACGAATTTGGACCCCTCAATCACCACCTCGTTGCGTGACACAAGCACAACTGCATCGACGAGTTTCCTGCTCTTGTTCGAAGCAGCAACATACAGAACTCTGGCGAGATCAGACCCGGACACAGTCAATCGCACACAACAGTATGACACAGCTTGTGGAGAATTCTCGGGGCAGCGGAGCGGGTACTGCTCTAGGAATGAGCAGTGGCGAGCGCAGTCCACCAACTCTTGTTTCTGGGGGCATCCCCAAGTTCGTGGCGACGACCTGACGTAGTGGCACTCGAGGCAGCTGAAATGGCGGCTAATGCAGCCCAGTGCTCTGCGCATGTGGTTCAGGAACTTGTGTCCGAGGACAGCGTCAGACACCGGGATGAGGTTCCCGAACTCCAACATGTTGGCGAACTTGTACTGGCTTGCCCAAGGACAACGACTCTCCATCGTGGCCCAATTCCGATCGCACCAGCCATCAACATGCACCTCCAAGCACGGGACGACGGTCATCCAGGGGTCCTCGTCGAAGTCCTCTGTGGTCGCTCCGTGGATCGTTGTTACACCGTTAAAATATCACACGAATCACGTGCAAGGAGGAAACGGTTCTTCCAAGCGAATGTGCATCTCGGGACTCATGGTCTGTGGTGTCGAGAAGATCGGCTCCACGATTCGTGGTGTCGAGAAGGTTGCCTCCATTACACACCCTACACAACACGCACACATGCCAAACGACACACACGGGCACAGAGACACTCGTAAACACGTCGTGTTTCGCGATCTGCGACCCTTAGCATCAGACGGAACGCGTGCTCGAAGATCCGATTTCGGGGGGTCGACCTGGTCGGTGTTCACATCTGTCGGCCGGCCGGCCACCTGCAATCATGTCCCGCGAGAGCTGGGCACCTCGTGTTCGTCGTGATCAGAATTTGGCGAGACTGCGCGGGAGAAACAAAGCTGTCTCTCAAACTTGGCGTCCCAAAAGTTCTTGAAGTTCGCATCCCGACGGACTTCACATTTTTAAGAATCCGAAGTTGTGGCTATCCATCGGCCGTCAGAAAACCCAACAGTCAGAGCCCACACCACCCGAAAATTGAAGTACGCTTGGGTCCGAACTTGACGACCACACGAGGAACCTTGCACGAGAAGTTCGGCTCCCAGCGAACTTCGCATTCTCAGGAACCCGAAGTTCGCCGGGATTCGAAATTGACGACTGTCCGAGGAACCGTGCATGGCAGTTTTAGATGCACGGCCCACCAGGCCAGCCGCAAACACGAATTGCGAAAGGAGGAAATCTCAAGTTCGCCGGGATCTGGACTTGGCGAAATCGCGTGGGAGAGACACAGCTGGCGAACTCGACGATGGGATGAGGAACCGTGCGCGAGAAGTTCGGATCCCGGTGGACTTCGCATTTCTGCGAAACAAAAGTTGTGGCAAACCACCGGGCGCGAGAAAGCCCACAGACAGAACCCACACCATGCGAGAAGCGAAGTTCGCCGGGGTCCGAACTTGATGAGTGTACGAGGAACCGTTCACGAGAAATTCGGATCCCGATGGACTTTGCGTTTTCACAGATCTAAAGTCCGCTAAGATCGAAACTTGGTAAACGTGCGAGGAATTGGGCACGTGAGCTCGGATCCATGGGAGGGCAAGCGAGCCGCAAAAATGTCTGGCGAAAGGCGCGAACCTGCTGTTCGTCGGGATCCGAACTTTGCAAAACCGCGCGGGAGAGAAACAACCGGTGAACTCGGCGAGTGAACGAGGAGCCGTGCATGAGAAGTTCGGATCCCGGCGAACTTCACATTTTTCGAATCTGTAGTTGTGCAATCCCTCGGGAGCTGGAAAGTCCGCAATCGGAACCCACACAATGCGGAAAGCGAAGTTCGCCAGGGTCCGAACTTGACGTCCATGTGAGGAACCGTGAAGGACAAGTCCGGATCCTGGCGGTCTTCGCATTTTCACGAATCCGAAGTTCATTGAGGTCCGGAGTTGACGATTGTGCAAGGAGCCGTGCAAGCGACGTTCAGATCCACAGGCCAGCGCGCGAGCCTCAAACATGTCTTGCGAAAGGCGAGAACTTGAAGTTCGCCGGGGTTCGAACTTCGCGAAACTGCATGGGAGAGACACACCTGTTTGCCAAAATCGCCATCTAACAATTTCTTGAAACTCGGATCCCGGCGGACTTCAAATGTTCACACGTCCGCGGCTGTGGTTGCGGTTCGGGGTTGCGAAGCGTGTTCAAACAGCTGCTCAGGCTAGAATCCGGACTTCTTCCGGTGTTTGATTTCGCGATCAGTTCGGTTGGCACCGCCAAGTTTGTGCTGGCGGATTAGGACGGTCACGTTCCAATGACGAGGACTGTACCGACGATGCATGGGGTGGTGGCTGCTCCACGTTCGCCGTTCAGTGACTATCAAGTGTCGATGACCCGATGTCCTCCAAAGTTCGACGTCTGACGAGGTTCGACGCCCGCCGAGGTTTGATGTGGAGCCCGGTTCGATGTTTTACAACGTTCGATGTGCAACAAGATTGTGACGAAGTGTTTTTCTTCCGTTCGCAGATCGGGATCGACTTTCGATGTGCGACAACATTGTGACAAGGTTGTGTGATTTGTTAGCGGGTTTCGATCGTGCACATGATCATTTGCCTTGAGGATTCTCCGCGATCAATATGCACGAAACAGTAGATTGGTCATGAAATCTGCCAGTATCAGCTGATTGATCAGCCGCTCGGTTGGCGGTTGGTGTGGTGGCTGATCAATCGCCAATCAATGGATCCAGGCAGAATACCTGACCAATCGACTGTTCAATCCATGACGATCAGGTGGTTAGATAAACAGGTCGCTCGACGACGGGTTGCATCTCGCACACGCAGACGCACAGAAACACGCGCACGCACATCGCCTTGCGAAACACAAAACAGGTTATGGTGCTCATACAACACACACACGCACACGCAAACACACACGCACGCATGCACATCGCCGCGTGTGTTTTGGTTTTGCCATTGAGACGATCAAAACACACAATCGGCGACGTCTTCGGTGCAGCACACACGAGCAATCGACCGCTCGCAAGTAATATATTGCCTGGTCGATTGGATGCGTTTGTGATCCAGACGTTGTCGCCTCGTGCATTGATTAATCATCCGTTCGGCAGATCAGGGGCGATGTTGTTGGGGCAGCTAACAACATCTATCACCCGATCGCAAGTGGTCGGCTTGTATTTGGTGATGGGTCGGTTCATCACGTGTGTGGTGTGCATATTGTCATGGATCAGATCGATCATCCGATCACGAGTGGTCAGAGCACAGACGACATAAAGAACAACACACACGCGGTGATAACGTCCACACGGCGGACACAATCAATCATTTGATCACGAGTGATCTCATCGTGTTTCGCGATTGGTCGATGGATGCGTTCGCTGTATCGACACTGCCACCGCGTGTTCCGATTGATCATCCATTGGGCAGATCGGCGGACGTGACATTGGGATCAATCAAGATCAGTCGAGTGTGGCAAGATGAGGTTGAACACAGCATGAGCGCAATCGTTTTTAATACTTTCCTCGAACATCCACACACAAGCGTCATTCGGGGAATCGAAGTGGAAATCATGTCTTTTATCCCTGACCTCGCACGTTAGCGCATATCTCCCCACGCTCAATGCGCACGAACACACACACACGAGAACAAATATGCACAGACAGGCACACGCACACACACATGCATACACACGCACACACACACACACACACACACACACACACACACACACACACACACACACACACACACGCACACACACATACACACGCCGCCGCACGGCGCCCACACACATACGCCCCTCAGGCACAGACACGCGCACGATCCTGCCTCGCGCGTGTGGCACACACTTCATACGAACACGTACACAATGGAACACGCACTCGAACACACACGAAAACAATGAAGCATGCGCAAGAACACACTCCCACACAAACACACACACACACACGCCCACCGGCACACATGCAGATACGACCTCTTTCGATCTGCGCGAGCATATCATCACAAAACCCGCCAACACGCGCGCACATACAAACATACGTCCCGGCTGCGTGCGCACTCACCGTGTGAAACTGTCGAGTTGAGATGAGCGCGAACCCCGGCGTTAAACGTGACGGCACGCTGTCGATCTTTGGGCGTGTGCTTTGCGTTTGCGAGGGTGCTGCGTGGGGTGATGGTCGCGCCTTTCGAGTAAGGAGAGCGGTAGCAACGTCGAATATGACGT